AGATACCAGTCCCTGTCCCCAGCTGCAGAACATCACACTGGTGAGACACTCAACAGACATCGGTTGACTCCCTGGGGTTGGGCTGGCGGCGAGACGCACAGCACCAGGGCCTCAAGGGCTCAAATCTGGGGGCTCGACCACTGAATATTCGTCGGTTCCATTCAACCACCAAGAGATGCAAGGGGCTGACACCCGAAAGATAGGGCGGTAAGTCTGAGGCCAGGCGGTGGCGGCGGGCTCTCTGCACGAAGGGAGACTCCTACAGTTTTCTGGGAGGAGGGAAGGAGACACGGCAGATGAGCCCGGGACCCCTCTCCCTCGCGGTGGCGACAACAGCAGTCACCACCTGCGCCACCCGCAGAGAAGCGCCACAGAGGTGCGCGCCCGCCCGGCGGCAGCTCGCAGGTCCCGCGGCACACAGAGCGGAGCCGCCGCGTCTCACACCCTGGGCGGGCATCTCGGGGGCTGATGCTCAGAGCCCCCCCGGGCCCATATGGGACCAGATGTCTCCGCAGAGCAGAGGTTTTGGAACACACAGCTAAACCTCCCTCGGAGGACTCACGCCGGGCTGTTCTCATGGGGCTCTCTGGGGCGGGGGGCAACAGCGCAGGGAGAATCAGGACTCTGTGCCACATGGCGGCCACAGATGCCAAGAACAAGACCACATCTGCCTCTGCCTCTTGGGGCCGGCGGGTGCAATACCGGCTCTACAGCCTGGGTGCGGAAGGGCACCCCCAGAAGGCGGCGAGACCCACGCACCTGGACTCTGAGGGAGAGACAGGAGTTTCTCCTGCTCACAAAGCCCAGCAGGCCGCACACTCCAGCAGTTGCCCCGCCCGGCTCCCCTGCTGGTACCTCTCAAGGCTTTGAGTGACACCCAGGAGCAAACCCAAGCGAGGAGGGCCTATCACTGAGGTCGGGAGGTGGAGGGGAAACAGCCATCAGCTCTGTGCACAGACCCACACTCTGCTGTAGCCGCAGGCCTGCCCTGCCTCAGAGAGCCCAGAGAGGCCCAGCTCAGGAAACCAGCCCTGAGAGTGGACAGCGTGGGCCCGCCAGCACCCACATACACTGCCTGGCGCGTCAGGTGGGGCCGTCCACGACCGATGCATCCTCCGTGGCTGCAGGGCGAGGGTCTGCACCAGCAGCCAGCTGCGCAAGTCAGGTCTCACGGGATCGGCTTACTGTCACTCAGCCACACGTATGAAAGTCGGTTTACGCTCCTACTTCCCCGATGACTTGTGTCACAAAACTGGTCATCGATTTCCACACCAAAGCCCCAACCTGGAGTTGAACTTTGGAAGGTCCTGATGGGCTAAGTGTCTTGTGGTCTTAAACTCTAAGTGCTGAGTTCTGCCTTCCGCCACTAACTCGCTTCTTCCCTGGTCCCTGTGTGTCACAGGACAGAAGTCTCAGACTGCTCGGGTTCTCTGCAAGCATAAGCGCTGCCACCTGAGCCCTGCGCCAAGGTCTGGCCCAGGTGCCAGCCACGTAGCTGCAGTGCACAGTCTCGCCAGAAGAGGTCCACCTGAAGCCAGGTGCCCACAAGAGGCCTGGAGCTCAATAGAAGGATTCTGGTCACAGACTAGACTCTCATCCCTAAGGGACACAATGTATATCGAACACCGCCAAGGGGAATACAACGGAGGCACAAAGTAACAAAGCCAAGGAACCCCGCAGGAGCCCCAGACCACTCTCCTTGCTGAGAGGGAAAGGAAGCAAGTGGGCCCGGGGGTAAGTAGGCAGGGCCATAGCCAGAAGAGCACCAGTCGGGGGCGGCACCCTCAGACTCACCACTCCTGGTCTTCACAGTTGTACCTCCCAGCTCAGGAGTCAAAAGCCCAATTCCAGCCTGCGCCTGCACAGCTAGGGGCGAGCCTACCTGGGCCTTCATGCCAGTGTCTCTGCAGGGCGCTCGCGGGGTGCGGGACGCAGCCACGCTAACCCACCCTGCCTTGGCTGCACTCACAACACTGCCCTGGCCATGCTCTCCCATGCCCAGCCCAGCATTCAAGCACCCCCTTCCTGGTGAAGCCCCTCTCTGTGGCAGGGAGCTCCCAGCCCAGCGCAGCTCCAAGGACCTCACCTGGGCGCCTCAGTCCAACCGCGCAGTCAGCCCAGAGCCGTCTGCGCTCCAGGCCTGTTTGTTTAATGTTTGCCCCGATTTCACCTCCCTCCCTCACACGCCAAATGTCTCAAAAGCTAGCCCTGTATCTGAAGGCTGTTAGATGGCAGCTGCCAGTAAGCACTCTGAGGAGTCGCAGCAGAGAGCCACAGGCGGGAAGGGCCTGGAACCAGCCCACGAGTTGACCTGCCCGGCAGCCCTGCAGCCGGGCCCAGCCCTCGACTGGCAGTCGCTAGGCGGAAAAGAGGCGACGGGCACCCTTGGAGGCGCTGTTTGTGCAGGCACAAAGCAGGCTTTCTCGACTTCGGCACTTCTGAAGTCCTGACTGGGGGCTGCCTGCGCGTCAGGGGGATCGCAGCTCGCCCAGCCTGCTGTCCGGTCTAAAGCGGTCTGCAAACACGCCAGGGGTGCTGGTGTGATGCAGGTGCACTTTTCCTCATACTCTGACAGCCAAAAACATGCCCAGCCTGATTTCATCTTTAAATCTAAAAAAATGACCTTGTTCCCCAACAGATTGGCTAATTTGTGCGAAAAAGCCTGTTCCATTAACTTGTGTCTGCACATTTGGACAGACTATACCTTCCGCCACAATTAATAAACTTCTCAACAATAAGGGAAATAAGGAATAACAGGTAGGCCCATTAATGCTGTAAAAGAATTGTCAAGGGTATCACATTTGTTACAGTCTACACAAGGTGATCTTATCAGTCATGCGTGAATTTTATTACTTCTTGAACAACTTCTGACTAAACACTGACTTTTGGAATGTCCCTGCTCTACCACACCAGATGTGGGGCAGTTTTGTCGCCTAAAAGGCTTTTCTGCAGGCGGTCATGAAGAGACCTGGCTCTTAAATAGACCAACATCAAACAGCCCCAGGTAAAGGACTCAGTCACTTAAAATCTCCACATTCCAGTGCAGTTCCAAGGACCAAAACTGTACTTAGTAAAATCAGATTTAGCTGACACTGGGAAAGCAAACCAGTGACTAGAACAGAATACCCAAGAGCCTGCACTCCCACCCGTGTCCGGAGGCCTGCCGTCATTCCAGAACACTCCAGCAGACAGCAGAGCTGGCTTCCTCGCAGGCAGGCTACAGGCAAGGACAGCTTCGGAGGCCGGGCCCGAGAAACAGCGCAGCAACGAGAGCCCACCTGAGCTCGCAGCAACAGGAAGCGGCAGACACGGAGCTGCAGCCGCCCCAGCGTCAGCCCCAAGGCCGGTGGCTAAGACCCAGAATGAGAACTGGGAGCAAAAGCACCGCACTCTCGGCACAGTGAGCCAGCGCGGACGTTAAGCGGTGGGTGTGCAGACGCACACTCAGAGAAGTTCAAGGTCCCATTTGGCTCCATCGATATTTTATGAAGCGAAGTCAAATACCTACTGCATACCTACTGTGGGCTCATGCTTAACAACTTCCTCAAGTTTAGAAAAACAAAGCTGAGTCTGACCTGACGACAAGACTCATGGTGTTTTACGTGTTTGAGTGCTTGGGGAGGATGTTGCTGTGAGCATAAAGTTCCTCTGCAGTAAAACGGCTGTAAAGTGATGTGACTGGTAGAAAAACAGCACTTCCTGTAGTGATGAAATGATATCACATGTTCTGCAAATAAAATATAGCAGGGGCTTCTTTCTCCTCCCCCCGGCCACCTTTGCAGATGCTGGGGGGGTGGGGGAGCCCGCACCCAAGGCAGGAAGACGCGCCCGTGAAGATGCTGAAGTCGCTGGAGCTTGTCGGTCTGGGCGTCGGTTCCTCCCGCACCGCGGCGAGTAGGTGCGGAGAAGCAGACTCCGAAGCGGCCAGAGGGGCAAACAAAAGTGGCCGTGCTCGCCAGCCTGGGCCAGCCCTGCGGAAATCCGGGCGGTCACTCTCCCAGGCGGCCCCCACCGGCGCCCACCACGGCAGAGTCGAGAGTCCTGGCCTGGGCACCGTGTGTGGCATGCCACGTGTGTGCGGCCTCCCGGCTCTGACCCTGGCCGTCTGAGAGCGCTGGAGGCACCAGACAGGAGGCAAGAGAGAACCATGCAACCTGCTCCTTAGTAAAGCTGGCCAGAGTTTGCTTAAACTAAAATAAACATAGCAGCACAGACAGAAAGAACAGCCACATGGCGCCCAACTCAGGCTGTCAAACTGCCCCGAGGAGGAGACAGAGCGCGGCCCTCTCCCACTCGTCACCCACCAGGCGCAGCGGCTCAGAGCTGAGGAAGAACACCCCCCACACACAGCCCTGGAGGGGCCTCGTTGCCCCTCCAGAACGCGGCTGTCCGGGGTAGGGATGCTGAGGATGAACGGCGGCAGGGAAAGGCTGGGGCAAAGTCGCCCGCCCGCTGGCTCACGGGGCTGTTCGCGCCCCCGCAGTCACAACCCCGGAGTGCCCGGCGCTCTGGGAAATGTGAGGACATCAGCACTGAGGTTTAGCAAATTAACTGCCAACACTGCCCTGCAGACAGACGTGCCACCCCTGCTGGCGTCTGCACACTTAGCACACGTGTGTTTAACTACACATATGTAGCTGTAAACAGACAGCGTGCAGGGTACCAGGGATTCACGTACAGACGTCATCAACAGGGAAAACCCACCAGCGGACTTCTGTTCTCTTGGGGAATTTATGCACAGAGCACCCTGCTGTGTCAGGTACGGTCTAGAGCTTTTACAGTCGCTGGGCTCTCAGTTTTGGCAAAACGCCAGGGTTTTCCTGCCATAGGCATGGCGTTACGCTGCCACCGGTGAGGGCAGATGCAGACGGCCCCTCCAGTGGCGTTTCTGTGAGAGCGGAAACAAAGCCTTTCCATGGAGAGGAAGCGGTCTGGGAGCCTCCGAGGCCGAGCGCGCAGGTGTGTGAATCCCGCCCCCGCCCTGGGCTCGGCCGGCTCACCTGGATGACCTTGTAGAAGTAGGCGTACTGGCGCGCCGTGTTCTTGTACTGGCTGAAGACGTCGTGGATGGCTTGGGTCGACTGCAGGTATCGGACTTCGTCTTCCTCGAAGTAGAGCGGGGTGTCGTACTCGCTGGGCAGGGTCTGGATGTAGGGCTGCCAGAAGGAGTTGGGGTCGGCTCGCTCACACAGCAGGTGGAAGGCCAGGGTGATGTTGCCCATGGCTTGAAGAATTCGGTCTTGAGAATATAAGGGCCCTGGATCGACCAGAATGAACCGTGTTGACTCACACAGCTTCTTCGGAAAGGAGTTTTGTATTACTGTGGACAGTCTATTTAATGGTATGTACACAACCTAGACATTACAGTTAAATAACCCGAACGTCCTGCCTCAGCTAACGTGGTCTGCGTCCGATGTGTGACTGTGTCAGGACCCATAATGTGGACCGGGGGAGTAGCTCCCTAATGGAAAAACCACCAAGTATAGCCCTCAGTGCCAAAACAAGTGTAGCTTTTTCTTATTGTGCTTTGCTTTAAACAGTCAGAAATTATTCTCACCCAACACTGAATTTTTAGCAGACTCCACGGTCATCAGTAATTTCCGTGGCACCCATAAAAATAATTCTTCTGCCTAAGGGGGAAAAAAGGAAAATATTAGAAATCACTAAAACATGGCACAACCTCCAACTACTTCTGTGATCAGAAACCCAAGCCCGTTGCCACGACTTAGGGGACAACAGCAGACACGGCCTTTCTAATTGTCCACATTCTAGAACATTGGAAAGTCTAAGCATTTGTGCTATCACTGGGAGAGCAGAAGCTTGGCGTAAAATCCAAAACCAATACTAACTGGACAGACGCAGAAGACAAACAGCACTTTCGGAAACTTGAATGGGAAGCAAATGTAATGATCCGGGGGAGAACAAAGGTTTTCTTACCGCTTGCTATACTTATATCGTTAAAGTCCTAACACCAAACACAGCAACTTCCCGGGCGCAAAGCCTGTCCGCTCCTGTTGCCGAAGCGGAGTAACCTGCTTCCTCTCCTGCCTTGTCTTTAAAGCACGGCAGTTACCAGAGGCTCGTTCCGCGGTCCTCACTGCTTGCTGCGCCGCCGCCTCACTTGGGCGATGCGAGCCGCTCCTGCGCGGCCGCCTGCCGCCGCAACACTCCCTACACCACCTCGAAGGAGCGCGGCCGAGCGGCTCGGCCACGCAGCAGACCTCTGCGCGCGCTCCGAACGCGCGCGCTGCACGTGTGGCGTCCTGGGTATCGCCGACTCGAGTTTGTTCTTTCAGACGCCCCAGAAACCACAGCCGCTGTTCGGGGGCAGCGACCGCACTGACGCTGAGTCGCCCCAGAGCCTCATCTGGCCCAAGAGCTGCCTCAAGACACCTTGTCCCTCTCCCCACTCTAGCAGCCACCACGCGAGCGTGCCTTGCCAAGGACCAGACGCAGGCTTCGTGAAAGAACAGCGCCCGGGCTTGGGGCTGGCACCTGGTGCGAGAACCGCCGAGGCGCGTCGGCGCAAGCCGGCCGCGGGCTGACTGCAGCCTTTCGCAGAGCTGTGGGAGGCCGGGACCCAAGCAGATACGCCCTTTCCTCCGCCCAAATTCTGAACCAACTGACAGAGACACAAGAATACAACAGATGGTCCCCCAAAATATCACCCACTGCATCCCACAATTAGACAGACTCCCCCACCTAGTTACAGGCAGGCTGGAGCTGCCTGCCAATTCGGGGAGCGCTCAGTGGCAGAAACGCACGTGGGCAGCCAGCGCCGCTCTGGCCTGCCGGGTGCTGCTGCGGTCCCCTGTCCGGAAGGCGCACGGAGTGAGCACAGTGGCCCTGTGTGGAGGGCCACAGTCCTGCTCTTTCCCTGTCACCTCTGGTGTTGCTGTTCGGTTGGCGCCTCCCACAGCTCAGTGACCTGCTCTGAAGCCCGGCAGCATCCTCGACAGGGCCTGCGCCGCCACACCCACACCTGGCGCTGTGCGGCCGCCCTCTGCGCCACCCGAGCCCGCAACCTTCTCGTGACTGAACTCCCAGGGTCCTGCTCCACGTCCAGCAGAGACCAGCAATGTGAACGCACGAGCCCCGGTCGCTGGCCGACAGCACGGCTCCGGGGGCTCACTGGAAGGGGCGGCCTGGGGCCCATGGTCAATTAGGAGGCACTAAGGCCCCCAAGAGTGGGGGTGTTGACCACCAGCTGCCTGCTTCCCCACGCAGCTCAGAACAAGCCCCAGGTGTTTACCTCCATGCCTGGTGCCTCAGGAGAGCACCCCAACCCCGACCCGGGGATCCCATGCCCCACTCACACACTCACCTTGATATCTCTGGTCGCCCTCAAACCAAAGCTCTCTTCTTTGAAGTTAACCATTTCAAAACCCTCCACGGAAGCTCCGTTTTCAGAGGCCCATTTCATCAGATCAGGAAAGTAATCTTCTCTTTTCCCATCGAAAGTAACAGACAGACCTAAACAAGCCGTTTCAGAGAACAAGAGGTGCTTTTAGGGCCGGTGGCCTTCATGCTTGTCTCAGGAGGCGGAAGAGACCTTATCTAGCTCTAGGAGAGCACAGCATGCCAGTCTTGCAACAAAAATCAGACCTAATGGACAGAGTCACAGAACAGTTCTCAACTCGGGGCAGGAATGGGGGATCAAAGCCCGAGCCGCTGGGCCGGAGAGGAGCGGCTGATCTGGGTGAGGCGCGGTGGGCCCGGCGGGAAGGCACCCCGTCACACTGTCGTGGCAGAGGGGGCGGCCCTGCAGCCCCACGGCTTCTCTCACGTATATCTGTGCTCCCGGGCCCACAAAAGACACATCAGTGGCTCACACCTGCACACGGGAAGGCCCAGAGCAAATGAGTGTGCACCCGTTTCTGAGCTCTAGCTGGAGGCCCTGCAGCACCCATGTACAGCCACTGACACAAAAAGGACTGTTTCTCAAAAAGCCGAAAGTATGTAATGCACCGATGTAAAACCTGACGATACCATGTGCGGATGCAGATGTGTGCAGGGCCCAGGGAGGAGCAGAAACATCATGGACAAGAGACACGCCTTGAGCGGCAGGGCGGGCGAAGGCTGCAGGCCTGGCCTGGGCTCTGTCCTGGAAGGCTGAGAGCTCAAACACAAGGGACACCGGCTGCGGAGGCAGGAGGGGAAGCAGACGAGAAGAGCAGAGCAGGAAGGCCGGGGCCTGAGCACGACTCCGTGCGGGGTGTCCTTGCAGTTCTACTGCTTCCCGCACTTTCCATCGGGTTTGAGAAAGTCGCAAGGATGAGAGGCTATGCGAAGGGAAAAACATGTTTCACAAGAACCCAAGAGATGCGGGGGCTCTCTGCGGTCAGGAGTGGGGTGTGGGAGCCAGCCGGGGCTGCAGTCACGGTAACCAACGCCCACCCAGCTTGCGCCGCGGGCTGACGGGTGCTGTGTCTGCCAGAGGCGGTAACCAGCTGGCTGGGAGATGCACGCACGTTCCCCATCACGGCGGGCAGCAGCATCTGCCCAACCTCAGTGTCCACCGTGACAAACGGCCTGTGCCCTGTGGCCCTCAGGACACATGAAACCCTCTCACTGTGGGAGAGCCGGAGTGAGCAGCGCAGAGCACTCTGCGACATACACATCACGGCGCAGGCCAGTCGGGGCTGGGCCCACCTTTGCCAAGGACCACCACATGATGACGCACTCAGCTGGATTTCGAGAAGCTCCCCTGCCCCCTCTTTACGCTCCGCTCTTTGTGGGCCTGCACCCCTTTACTTTTGTGCTTCGTGGAACAAAATGAAAATGCTGAGTGAACTTTCTCAAGCTGCCACGTGCCGCATCACCAGCTCGGCAGGGAAATATCATAAGGTCTGCCAAACGCAACCCCCAAGGTCACAACTCGGGGGCTCAGGCACCTCTCTTACTCAATCAGAACGTGCTGGCATCCACCCTAACCACTGGCTGGCACGCGGCTCACTGGCTTGGAGCTAGCTGGGTGTGGACCAGGCGCACCACTCTGGGCTGACCTCAAAGCCCAAAGGAAACAGATTTGAACATTTATTTCAAAAGATAAAATAAAAAGTAGTTATGTCATTTTAGCCCCCAGAGACAAACTTCATTCGCTCCCAAAGCCCAAGAGTTTTCACAGCTCACCAAGCGGGGCTCGCGGACGGGAGGGAGGCGAGCCCCAGGCCAGTGCCATCCCCCGCTGGCTCTCCACGGCGGCCAGGGGCCTGAGCCTACTCCCCAGCCCGTCACCGCCGCTTCCCTGGCCTGGCTAAAACCGGAGCTCCCGTGGGACATTTACCTTTCTGTTTTTTCCGTATTTTCTCCACCAGAGAGCGGATCTGCACGTACTCCTCCCACTCCTTCCCCGGGCCGGGCGCGGGGCTGCTGCATTCTGAAACACAGGGCACAGTCAGGGCTGTCCACTTTGGCCGCCGCCGGTGCCCGGGAGGAGGGGGCCCTGCTTAGGGCTGCCGTGGCTGACGTTAGAGGGCGGCACGCACCACGGCACCCGTGACCAACGGGGGGAGGTGAGTGGGAAGCTCTGGAGCGTGTCAAATGCTCAGCCGCCACTAAAGGCCACCGATTCCGCGAGACCCCGGGACCCACGCAGGGCCAGGCTGCGGGACCTCGTTCTTGCTGCCCTGAGCAAGCTTGCTCAGAACACACTTGTGACAGGAAAAGCTAAAAAGATGAGCTAAAATGCAAAGCCTTTCCTGGAAAACGCTCCTTGAAGGTAAAAAGAAGGGGTGCAAATGCACAGGGTCACAGCCGCGCCGTGCCGCACCCACAAGCACAGGCCTCAGTCAGCGCTGGGGAGCGGCGGGGGGTGCGCCACCGCTGAGGGAAGGGGGCTCAGATTCTACGGGCGGCCGGAGCGGGAAGACCCACACCCGCAGGGCGGGCGGCAGTGGACGGCTGCCCGGGGCGCCCTGCCCAGCAGCGGCTCTGTGCTCTGGGAAGCAGAGCACGGCTCAGAGCTCTTGCTGGAGGGCCTGGCCCCTGCTCTCCCAGGGAAGGGGCACAAGAGGCGCAGGTCCAGGGAAGCGCGGGCTCAAACCAGGAAGCTCACCGCAGCTTCACCCTCCCGGCTACAAATACCGGCCATGGGCAGGGGAGCCCCGAGAACAGAGAGCGAGGCTGCCTGCCCACAGAGCGCCCTCAAGCTGGGGGGGAGAGGGGTGTGGCCCCTCAGGCTTCGGGGTAGGGGACCCAGGTGCACTCGGGAGGGACCTGACCACTCCAGGGTACCACCTGCTTCTGTCGAGGGGAGGGGAGGGGAAGCTGGGTTTCATTTAGATTGTCCTGTCACCCAATCTAAACTTGAGAGAGAACGAGGTCAGTGCTGTTAGTTAATAGAGTGACCGCAGCTAAATTTGAGACTTACAATTAAAATGACAATTCGCAATGAAAAGTGAACGGGAGCTGCAAGTTCAGGCGTAGGCACGTGAGCACAGGCACTGAACTGCCTTTCAGTCTCCCTCGAGCAAGACCGCGCAGACGTCAGCACGGAGCTGGGGACGCTACGGACGGCCAGTCTTCCACAGGGGGGTGTCCCAAAGGCCGGTCTCCAGATGGCCCTGCTCCGGGGGCCTCACCCCGCCGAGACAGTCCTGCCTGGGGATTCGGGGGATCAGCCGCTGCTGCTGGCCGCACTGTTAAAGGGGCCGGGCTGGGCCCAGAGCCCAGGGAGGCCACATCGGGTGGCTGGGGAGGCTTGACACCTATATTCCGCGGGGCCCTGTGCGCAGTAAGCAGGATCAAGGGGTGCTGGTAACCCCATTTCAGTTGGGGTAAATGCAGTTACAGTTTTCTCTAAATCTGGGCATGAGCTGTGGTATGCACACACACTTGCTACACTTCGTACCAGTGGCCACTCCCCCCCCCAAAGGACTGGGGGTGCAGGGGAGCTGTGCCCCCACAGGCTCGGGGGGCCAGGCAGGACTTACTCTGCAGCAGCTCGCTGGTTAGGTTCAAGGTCTCCTTGGGGGACACACTAGCTGATGCACCGGTGCCTGATTTTTGCGTTTTCACTCGGCTCTTCTTCCCCATTTTCTGGCTGCAGAGAAAGAAAAGACAAGGAGGGAAAGTTTACATTTCCAGGGGACAAAATCAAGCCGTAAAATGTCGCAGCAGTAGCTCAGCCTTAAGGTGGTACGATCTTAACATATCCTGAAGTTTCCTTCCAGAAACAGGAATGTGTAACAAGTATTAGTGTGTGGAAGTTCTCAAATGCAAACAGAAGTCTGCTTCATCATCTCTGGAGGAAGAGCTCACCCTTTCACTTCCAGAAACCATAGCAGAAGCCACCTTTACCCTGCAAGTTTTTCAGGCTACATAGGTTTTGTTGTAGAACCAAAACTTTTAGCCCAGGACACTACTGAGCTAGAGGGCACATATCACGGGCCCCCGGGGCACAAGAACCCACACAGCTCGCCTCACCCGCGTGTCCCTGTATTAAGGGCAACAGTCGGACTCTCTGAATAAGCATCGACGCATTCTGACACACAGACTTTACAGTCAGTCTGAGGCCTTCCCTGGACCCTGGCGTGGCCAGGATTCCACAGGACACTGATGGCAGACACCAGACTGGACCCCACAGCCTCCCAACCTGGCACTCCGACACCGAGCCCGGGACGGCCTCACATGTAAGAAGTGTCTAGAACATCCCACCAGCAGGTCAGACAGTAGGAGGGAGGCAGTAACAACCTCTAGGAGGTAGTAAGGCCTGAAACCCTGTGGGCTGAGATGCGACCAGGAGGTCGCCACGTGAAGAGAGGGCAGGCCGGTCTGCGGGGCAGAGGAGGCCGCAGCTGTCCTCGTGTCTCGGGCCTCCTGTCCCTCGCACTGTGAATTCCCCTCTGGCGCCACTGCCTGCCTTCTCCTGCTCACTCTGCCACCCACCCACTGTGGCCCTGGCCCCGATGTCCTGCACACTGGCTCACATCTCCGTGGCCCTCTCGACCCCAGGCCCCAGGAGGCCCACTCTGCTCCCGTCTGTGGGCGTCCCTACGCCCAGCCTGAGCAGACCCCCGTGGTTGGGGAAAAGCCGCCGGTTGCAGGGACGTGCACTGGCCTGTCAGCCTAGACACTGGCTTCCCTAGGCTGCGGCTCAGGGCCGAGTTTCTAGCTTCCTGGAACACAGAGGGAATGTCTCATTTGCTCCCCATGAGAGAGCAGTAAATATTTGGTCACTGATTTGAAAACACAATAGATCCCTTCGGCGGCAATGTTCCCAGTCAACTGCTGGCTCTTGCATTGTTCAACTCGCACTGAACAGCTGGCATTGTCCTCGAGATTGCTTGTTCTTTTAGCCAGAAAACTGCTGGCTCTTTTAGAGTGGACTGGGCTAGGAGCAGAAATACAGCAGGAGCACCCCCCGGGCAGCGAGCCCCCCAGGAGCGGACCCGTGACAAGGCGAGGCCAAAAGCCCGGTGGCTGTTGTAGGCACCAGCCCCTGCAGCCCAGCATGCTCAGCGCCAGGCTGCTTCCCCGCCGCGCCATCCACAGCCCGCTGCACCCCAAGGTGGAAGTGCAAACTGTCGCGTGCAGAGTGTGCAGTGTCTCGCCCAGAGTGCACAGCCTGCTCCTCGAGCTCGGGACACCCTGCGTGCCTTCCGCAGGACACAGCACCCTCAGACGACCGCCGACCGCCGCTCACCCCGCCTGCGTGGGAGCTGCATGTGAGAGCTACGGGACGACGTCGCTCCTTCTGCTCCGCGGTCCTTCTGTCCACAGCTGGAGGGTGGCCCCCAACCTCCCACACAGACCCTCAGGCCCTCACTGCCTCAGCCCCGGCAGCTCCATTCTACCCATCGCCCCTGGTGCAACTCAGCTCCAGGGTTCTCCCCCTTTGGTAACGAAGAGACCCTCTGCGACCCCTCGCCCCAAAAGATCCTGAGGAGCTCCTGGTCACCTCCGGGCAGTCCTCTCTCTCAGGAGAGTCAGGAGAATCGATCAGGTTCAAGGTGACTAAGAGATGCTTCTCTGCAATTCGGTCTTCTAGAATTCTCTTCGGGCCGATGCAGGTCCTAAGGTGGGGAAGGCAGCGGGCCCAGGCAAGGCAGAGGAGTCTTCAGCAGGCCTTACCTCGCTTCCTCCCGACTCTGGAGCGGAGGGGCCGCCGCTCCCCAGAGGCTGCTCCTGCCTGGGGTGCGGGACCCCAGGTCCAGGCCAGCTCTGACTCTGCCCCACAGAGAAACGGGACCGACAGCGAGGGCCTCCAGGGACGCTTCCCCGGCGGGTTCTGTCCGGAGCCCCTGCGCGCTCTGGGGCAGCCCGCGGCGCGTTTACATGAGGACCCGGCCCGGGCAGGGCTGGCTTCCCGGGCCCCTCAGCCCAGCAGGGGCTCTCTACACTTCATGGCCACCAGCATCTGTGAAGAGCCTCCTGCCGGGTCTGCCGAGTTCGCGCCCATCGAGTTCGCGCCCATCGTCCCGGGCTTTGTGTGCCGTCCCCGCCTCCTTCCAGTCCACAGAGCGCGGCGCTCCCACGCGCCCTACACTCCTTCCACAGCCTGTGGAGCCCTCGGCCCTAGGCAGAAGCCTGTCTCACACCCACTCCCTGCGGGCCCACGCCCCTCGCCTCAGAGCCCCACTCTGGCGCCTCAGGCCTACCCCTGCCCCGCAGTTCACAGCACGCATGTGCCCGCACCCTCCTGGCAGGAAGGAACCACAGCTTGCCCCTCCGTGCCATCTGGGGGCCCGGTACGGGGCGGCGGACGGCCGCGCTCCATTTGCTGAACGAAGGGAAAACTTTAGATGTTGATTTGTGTATCTGTGCTACCTGGGGGTAAAGTTTACTTCCCGGGAGAAAGGCAAAGCGTAGGCGGCAAGGAAGCGCTCTCATCTACTGCCCTCAGCGGAGTAGAACAGTAGTCAAAGTGGGACCGTTACTGTTGATTTCTAGTGAACAACACCTCCACATAAAGTATGTAAAGTTCAGTTAAAAGGATTTCTCCTGGGAATCCACCGTTTACTGCTCAAAAACACCTCAAGGTGTAAATTTCATAGGGAAACTGATAAACACAAACCTGAATTTTGAAAGGAAGCAACAAAGCAAGAGCAAGTCCGCTTGCAGGGGAAAAGGCAGGTTCCCCACGCGTGGCCTGAGGCACCACGAGCACCGGAAACGGGATCTGGCTCAGCGCTGGTCAGCTGCACACTGTCCAGCCCCAGGCCAGGGCCGGGCCGCGCCCTTGGAGGCCGCAGAGCCACAGCCTGGGCAGAGGCAGAGACCCGGCCAGGTGCCCCCGCACCGGGGAGCCCGGCTTCCAGCCCGAACGTGGGGCCGCGCCAGCGCACGGGCGCCCAGGGCGCCATCCAAGCAGCCTGCCCGGGCACTGCCGCTGCCACAGACACAGCACAGCGGGTCTGTGGGCCTCGAGGCAACTGCGGGGACGAAGACTCAAGCACGGGCTACCTGAAGTGAGAAGAGGGGGGCAGGGAACAGTGAGACAGCAGGACGAAACTGAGTCAGTCTGAGGTGGCAGGGCCAGCACAGGCGGTTTCCTAACCTTACCCCCATCTCTGTGAAGCTACAACATCGCCAACATCGTGGATCTGAAGTAACTCCCCACCCTCTGCATGCTTCCCTCAGCACCTTGCTATCCGCCGTGAGTCATTTCTATCGTGATGCCAGTGACACACAGCCAGTGTCTGAGTGGGGGGACAGCGTGACCCGCCAGTGAAAGAGCGGCCTCTGAGATTCATCAAGTTCCCAGAAAGACCAAATACTTGCCTGGGAGAGTTATTCCAAATACCAGTATTAGAAACATGCATCCTCGGCCCTCCCTGGTGGTGCAGCAAGTTAAAGCGCAGCATCGAGAAGCTAAAGCCTCTTCAGCATGAGCTCCGTCCCCGTCCCGAAGGTGACCACAGGGCGCAGCAGACCTCTCCTGACCCGCCCGCTGCTCCCCTCAGGAGTGTACTTGGTCAGTCGGCCTGTTCTGCTCCCCACTCTGTCTCTGATAAATTCTCTTGCCGCCCGTACACCTCTGGCCTGTACCCCAGTTCTGTATGCATAAAAACATCTTTAAAAAAAAAAAAGAAAGAAATATGCATCCTCATATTTATAAGTTAAAGGTTCATATGCACACACATACGCTAACTCCCAAATACTGGCCAGGAGACAAAACACTCCGTGAAAGATTTCCTCCCCAAAGCTAATCTTGAGATCTTTTTACAAATTCTCAGTGAATTATGTTGGTAGAAACAAAAGTATATGGAAACAAAGGGCTCAGGCCCCCTTTTTCTTTTTAAAGGTTTATTTGTACATATAGAATTGGGCTTGCCGTGCTGCGCCCTTACCTGCTGCGCCACCAGGGAGGGCCTCAGGCCCTTTTTTACTTAAAACAGGAAAAAACACACAGAAAAAGTAATAGAGGGCAGAGAAGCAGCGGATCCCACCAGCAACCTGCTGGCCTTTGCGGGCACATTGCTGTCTCCTTCCCAGAGACAGTTCACAAATCCACCGTGTGCTCAGTCTGCCTCTTTAAGAACACCGCAGGCATCTATCAGGTGCATCAACTCCCCCCCAAAGAGATCAAACAGGCTTTCAAAGACCACGAAATAAAAGGCATACTCGATCACTGGACCACTAACTCCTGTGAGTGGGTGCGCGCAATCATCAGTGCGTGCTGGCGAATCAAGCGGTTCACACGAGTCTGTCACCCCACAGGAAGGAGGTAAGGCACGGAGATACTCACACTGCGGGCCTGGCAGTGGTGGGGGAGGTAAGGGTGCTCTGGCTACCTGGCCCGTGTGCAGAGCTCACACACACTGAACAGAGCTGGAGCTCAACTGCGTGGGGTTTTTTCCTCTCAAAAATTCTGAATGGGAAGGGTGTATATCTGTATTTTTCCTGAGTTGCTTTCAACTAAATACAACTAGAATAAACATTTTTGATTACACTCATTTGGCAATTTATCTCAAAAACCGTAGCTCAAAGCCAGCATCTGCTTTTCAGTGTCGCCTGCATTTCCCCCACGTCACAGCTGGATTGATGAAAGGAGCCAAGGGCCCAGAGGTGTCCTCCTCCCTCGGCACCCAGCTGTAAA